CTTTCGTCAATTCTCTCCACAGGTTCTTTATATTTCAGGAACAGTTGCGCGACTTTCGTCAATTCTCTCCACAGGTTCTTTATATTTCAGGAGAAGGCGCAGACTTTCGTCAATTCTCTCCACAGGTTCTTTATATTTCAGGAGCAGTTGCGCGACTTTCGTCAATTCTCTCCACAGGTTCTTTATATTTCAGGAGAAGGTGCAGACTTTCGACAATTCTCTCCACAGGTTCTTTATATTTCAGGAGAAGTTGCAGGCTTTCGACAATTCTCTCCACAGGATTTCCGTACGGAGTTCAATTTTATATTTCAGGAGAAGGTGCAGACTTTCGACAATTCTCTCCACAGGTTCTTTATATTTCAGGAGAAGTTGCAGGCTTTCGACAATTCTCTCCACAGGATTTCCGTACTGCTGAGTTCAATTTTATATTTCAGGAGAAGGTGCAGACTTTCGACAATTCTCTCCACAGGTTCTTTATATTTCAGGAGAAGTTGCAGACTTTCGACAATTCTCTCCACAGGTTCTTTATATTTCAGGAGAAGGTGCAGACTTTCGACAATTCTCTCCACAGGTTCTTTATATTTCAGGAGAAGGTGCAGACTTTCGACAATTCTCTCCACAGGATTTCCGTACGGCTGAGTTCAATTTTATATTTCAGGAGAAGGTGCAGACTTTCGACAATTCTCTCCACAGATTTTTTATATTTCAGGAGAAGTTGCAGACATTCGACAATTCTCTCCACAGGTTCTGCAGGATTTCCGTACGGCTGAGTTCAATTTTATATTTCAGGAGAAGGTGCAGACTTTCGACAATTCTCTCCACAGGTTCTTTATATTTCAGGAGAGGTTGCAGTCTTTCGACAATTCTCTCCACAGGTTCATTATATTTCAGGAGAGGTTGCAGTCTTTCGACAATTCTCTCCACAGGTTCTGCAGGATTTCCGTACGGCTGAGTTCAATTTAGTATTTCAGGAGAAGTTGGAGTCTTTCCACGATTCTCTCCACAGGTTCTTTATATTTCAGGAGAAGTTGCAGTCTTTCCACAATTCCCTCCACAGGTTCTTTATATTTCAGGAGAAGGTGCAGACTTTCGACAATTCTCTCCTATTTCAGGAGAGGTTGCAGTTTTTCGACAATTCTCTCTACAGGTTCTGCAGGACTTCCGTACGACAGCGTTGAATTTTATATTTCAGGAGAAGTTGCAGACTTTCGACAATTCTCTCCACAGGTTCTGCAGGATTTCCGTACGGCTGAGTTCAATTTTATATTTCAGGAGAGGTTGCAGACTCTACAGTGAGTTATTGGCCCGTATGAATAAAAGTAAGCAAATGCTTATACTTGCAAAATTCGAAGTAAATACTCATCAGTGCTCCTTCGCACTGGGCGACTTAGCAGCGCTTCTAAGCAGGACAGGACGCAGTGCAGCGCTGCTAAACCATGCTAAACAGACCAGTATGAAGGGGCAATTACGAGTATTTACTTACTTTTATTCATACGGGCCATTAAGTACATATGTTCGTTTTTGAATTAAATAAATTTTTCAGAAAGGCAGCGATCAAGCATGCCCTCCCAAGTTTCGCAGAAGAAGAAGACTTAGACTTGCGCAAATTCACTCCACAATCTCTTCAGCATTTCCATACGTCAGGAGTATGACCTTCAAGTCTAGGAGAAGGTGCAGATTTGCGAAAATTCACTCCACAAGCTCCGCAGAAGTTCCGTACGTCTGGAGTATGATCTTCAAGTCTAGGAGAAGGTGCAGATTTGCGAAAATTCACTCCACAAGCTCTGCAGGACTTCCGTACGTCTGGAGTATGATCTTCCAATCCTGGAAGATGTGCAGATTTACAAAAATTCACTCCACAAGCTCCGCAGAAGTTCCGTACGTCTAGAGTATGATCTTCAAATCCAGGAAGATGTGCAGATTTGCGAAAATTCACTCCACAAGCTCTGCAGGATTTCCGTACGTTTGGAGTATGATCTTCAAATCCAGGAGTATGTGCAGATTTGCCAAAATTCACTCCACAAGCTCCGCAGAAGTTCCGTACGCCTGGAGTATGATCTTCAAATCCAGGAAGATCTGGAGTTTTCTAGAAAATCCCGAAGGAACTAACAAGTTACTCAGAAACGCAATATAGAAGGACGATCTTCCACTTTTCCCCTACGGGGAAGACGTAAATTTGCAAAAATTCACTCTACTGGCTCTGCAGGACTTCCGTACGTCTGGAGTATGATCTTCAAGTCCTGGAGGATGTGCAGATTTACGAAAATTCACTCCACAAGCTCTGCAGGATTTCCTGACGTCTGAGTATGGTTTTCAAGATTAAGAAGATCTAAAATTTTAAAGAGAATCTTGAATGAATTATCAAGTGACTGGCCAGTGGCCATGCCCTCCAGGATTAATGCGGCATGTTAAAGGTGAGTTATTGATTACAAATGTTCGGTTATTAATTAATTATATTTCCCAGAAAGGTAGCAATCAAGTATGTCCTCCCACTTCTGGCACAAGTAGGAGACGTAGATTTGCCAATATTCACTCCACCAGCTCTGCACCATTTTCGTATGTCTGAGTATGAGTCTCAAGTATAAGAAGCTCTAGAATTTTTAAGAAAAGTCTGAAAGGATAAATATGCACCTCAGAAAATCAGCGTTCACGTACTCCCCCCCACTTTTCTTACCTGAAAAAGACGCAGAACTGCGAGAGTTCATAGCAACTCGTCCCTGGTGAGTCTTCATCCAGAGGTAGCACGCAACTTACACTATTCAAATGGAAACAGACAGATCTTGGAATAAAGTCCATCCTCGGCGTGCTGAACAATCGCATGTACATGGTTCAAGGGAAGGAGGTGAGTACGCCACTGCATTAAACGTACATTAAGTCAAATTGCTTTTTTTAAAGGCGGATTCCAAGAAAGTTGATTTGTAGTAGTAGTAGGCAGAAATTTAAAAAAGAGCAATTTTGCAGCATCCCAATCACAGAGTAGATTTATTTTTTATAAAAACCAATAACCCGAATCTCTCAAGAAGCAGACGCACACTTGAAAATGTTTTCTCTTTCAGTTATTGGAATGAAGAAAAGGTGGTCGGGTCGACACTACTCCTCTACCTATGATCGCCGCCATTTGTCGGTAACCGTCCTCTTCCTAATCGACGCCAAATTAATAAATTGGTAAGTTTCTACTAGTTAATTAGGGGAGGTAATGACAGTAATTAAATGTATCACACACGATCCTTTTTGACCGAGGATGGTGATAATCGATTGCAAGCCCTTCCTTTATAGATTTTGTTTTGCTTTTTGAAATTTGGTGTCTATAGCCCGACGTAAAGATTCAAGAAAGTAATTATTTATCACTTCTCAACACTTGGTTTGGGTTTCTGATCCAACCAAATTCTTCTGCTCCTGGTTTTTAAATTAAAAATGCCATCGGAATAATAACCACTGCACATTTATCTAGAGAAAGAGCACGATCTAACAGAGCCTTTGAATTTTATTAAAAAAATTCCCCTAAATGTAGGTATATTACCTAAAAAATTAATTTCCAAAAAATAGTATCATTGAAATAAAATTATGGCAGACTAACCTGGGAATATCGATTAGAGTATTGTTTTTTGTCATTAAAAAAGTTGCCAGGTTGTTTCAAAAAAAGGTTTTCTTTGGATTGAGGGAAACTATGTCCCATGTCGCAGCACAAGTCTAGCCGACTTAAAAAAAAGGTCGATCTAGCCGAATTTTAATTTTTTTATTTAAAAAAATTCCATGCTAGTTTCTTTTTTCAAAATTATCTCTTTAACAAATATATCGACGCATTAATGTAAGCGTATAGCACAATTTGGCACAACAACAATGTATTTTCTCAAAGTGTTTAGGTAAAAATACTACGACATATTGCAGCCATATCTCCTATTTAATTGTCTCTCTCTCTATTTCTGCTTAATAGTTTCCGCGATCCTTCATGCTAGGGAATTACAATAATCACCTTTACGAATAGTTTTAAGAAGCGCTGATTTTCTTATCCTAACTTTAGTCGTTTTATTGATTGTCCACAGAGTCAGATCATTTGGCGTTCTCATCTACCCTACATCCTGCTGAAGAATTACATGGATCACAGACTCAGAAGTCACAGGTGAGTACACCACATTTTGGATCGTCCATAAAGATGCAAAGTAATCATGTAGTTGAACTAAATAGGTATCTGTTTGTACTTTTACATTTTGGAATTTGCATCTTGCTCATCGCAAGCGCCATTATCATGAGATACTGGGACTACAGATTGGGAGTTATTCATTCAATATTACAGCAGATGCCTTATTTTATTTGAGTTAAAGGGCGTACACAAACATGTGCTCGTAACTGAAAATCATTTTTGGGCCAAACAAGTTTACTTTTCAAAAATGGGCATTTCTGTAAAAATTATTATCATTTAAGGATAATCAAACAATTTAATTTTTTTTTCAGTGATTGGTTTGCCAGTATCCTGATGCGAAATTATGGTGCAGCATTTCCTCTCTCCTGTGGTTAATGGTGCGTCTTAGGCGGACCAGAGCTAATAAGGCTAAAGGGTAAATTTCTTTATTTTTAATGTCAGCTTGTGTATCTATACTATCACGAAAAATTTGTAAAATAATAATTTAGTATTATTTAGTTTTCAGCTTTTTAACGTAAATTAATCTCTTGTTTCAGATTCCCGAAGGGCAGCCTTATAAAGGTAGGATTTTTCTTATACATTGCATGTTGCCTTATATCTATGTAATCAGTGGGGGAGTGAATAGTGCATTAGTGACTAAAAGGAAGATCATCGACAACTTTTAGCCGACCTTCTTATGGTAGTTATGACAATCGTCTCATCCTAATTTTAGTGACGTAGGGTTTTTCGCAATAATTGTTCAAGAGTCTCTTTTGTGGCACCATCAGTTTACTTCATATTAATCAGTATGACTGTGACTTCATAGCCATACCAGTTTTATGAAGTGAACGGGTTGTCTCTACGAACCAGACAACGAAAAATTATTGCAGATAACTCCTCCGTACCTAAAATAGGTGATTTAAGGGTTGTTATATCTTATTTGTTACTACATAAAGGTCCGGTTAATGACATGTGAAGGTGAGTTATTACATCACAATGAACGTGTTTGTTTATTAATTAATTAGTTCACCACTGATGAGTTGATTAGTAGACGAACACGATTTAAATACATATTTAGTAACATTTTGGATTGTCTATTAATTTCAACGATTGTTCACAGCACCACTGACCATCGTACTGAACGACGTAGCGCGATCGTCCCCCATGCCGGCCAGCATTCCACAACGACATCCAATCCAGGACCATGGCACTCTGATGGACGCATGTAACCAAACGAGGTGAGTACGCCACTGTCTCCAGCATCACAATCATTTACACCGTTTTATAGTAACTCAATTTAGTTTGTACATGACTTGATATACATTTTTTATGATTAACATATAACTTTCTTCTGAGAAATAATGAGCAATAGCAAAAAAGTCATTTTGTTGTATTTTCAAAGTTTCAAAGTATCATTAATTCATTTTTTTTGTTCACCGTCTATCAAAAAATCCCAAGGATTATATATATGGCATTTTTTTTCTTTTTCAGTTACCATCAGTAGTCCAGACGTTCGAGAACGTGAAATGGTGAATCTGCAGTGCGCCGACCTTCCTGATGTGAACGAATTAAATTAAATGATATGAAAGGGTAAATTTACAATTTTTTTAAAATTTGATGCAATAACGGGCGATCAAAAATGAGTTACTGTCGAGTCGCCTTTGGAAGTTCAAGTGAAGTAAGATTTTCCTTTTCAAAAAAATTCCAAAGGTGACTCGACAGCAACTCATTTTTGATCGCATTGTAGCAAAGGGGGTTACAAAAACCGATATCGATAGTACCATCAGCAAACGATTATGTTAAATCCTAAATGAAATTTTTATGCACAGATTTTGGTTCAGAATTCCCTTTACGTAGTTACTTTGCCATTAAACAATGTTGCATCTGTTTCATAATTCTATTTTAAATTTATTCTTTGTTTCAGATTACAGAAGAGAAGCCTTATAAAGGTAGGATAGCATGTTTTATTATATGTGCGTGGGGGGAAAGTGAACGTAGTGAATTATAAAAGAAGATCATCGAAGGTCTTCTAAGTCTGTCATCTTGGAGACGTAAGATTGGCTACAATGTTTCTTCGAATGGTCTCTCGCGGGGCATCATCTGTTTCCTTCATATTAACCAGTATGACTATGAATTCTTAGTCATACCAGTTGTATGAAATAAGCGGATTTGCTCTGCGAATCAGATTATGAAGAAGTATTGGAGCCAATTCTTCCGTTCTCAAGTTGCCTGACTTAGAGGTACCAACAGAAGGTAAGTGAATCTTCGGGGGTTCAGTGGGGTCACTTGAGCCACCTGAGGGTGGCCAACACCCCACTCCCATTTTCTTTAAAAATTAATTAAGTTGCTGCTTCTCTAATGGTTGTTCATCTACTATTGATCTTCACTTCAAAGCTTTACTCACGTTTACAAATACATAGGCGTACTTCTCGAGCGTCTTGTTCGATTTAAATTTGGTCTTCAAGAGCTCTCAAAAGATTCAATGACACTCTTAGAGTCTTTCAGACGCTTTCTTAGGATTCGCTTTGAAGCCTTTTGAAACCTCTTAGAAAACCCACTAAAAATCAGTTTGAAAAGTAGGTCCTTTTAGGGCATCACCCTGTCTTCAAAGTTTTTTCAAATTCTTGCCATATTTTTCTAAAGTCTCTTTCGAAGCCTCTTTAGAATTTGTTCTCATTCGTGAGGAACATTTGTAAAATATTGTGCAAATATTTTCCACATGCCAGTCCATTTTTCCAGAAAAAGGGGGGTTAAAAACGATTGAAAATAACTAACAGACGTGTCTAAAATTCAATCAGACTACAAAAAGCTCCTTTTGATTACTCTGGAAAGTTCATGAGATCTATTGAAGACTCTTGAAATTTTTTGAAGGAATTTGAAAGTTCCTTGAAGGCTTTTAGAGACACCTGGACACCCCTTGAAAGTGTTTAAAGTCACTAAACATTTTTAAATGCACTTAGGAGCTCTAGTAGAATGTATAAACCTACAAAAGGGCCTTAGGCATTTTTAAAAAAACAAGTAAAATGGTTAAAGTTAAAGCGAGTAACTTCAGCGCAATTTCTATGAATTGATCAGTACTTTCCAAAAGGCCATAGCTGTGAGCGCTGTTTTTCTTTGCTAGAGGCATCTATGGTTAAAATTTCAAAGTAATATTTTCATAAATAGGGAAATTTGCACTTCGCACAGACTGCGCATGCGCACATCTAATGTTAACAATATAAGATGTGCTTGCTTGCAGATATCTCGATAAATAAGACAATTGATATTGCGCACCTTGCGCATGTGCACATTAATCTGGTGTTTACAATATGCGATACGTTTGCTTTTATTAAAAGCATCTCAAGAAAGTTGGCATTCCGCAGCCTGCGTATGCGCATATCTCGTTTCTGAAAAAGTGAAATCGGTAGGTTTTTGAAAATTGGTACTTAGGCGTTACTCTGAAAACCGAATCGATGAAATATGTTCAAAATAGTGGCACTTCCGGAAATACCGGAAGTACTTATAGCTAGTAGCTTCGTTATTTTAAATGGAGGTCCCTATTTTTATCTCCCCCAAGACATCTAGTTTTTAGAACTGTGTGTAGACAATTTCCTCTGGTATTCCATACCCCCCCGGTGCTACATTCTCCCCCTAAACTTTCGTTTATAAAAAATTTTGAGGGGAGGTGAACGTAACGGCGGGGGTCTGAGGAGCATGGAATAACCCCCAAGGAAACGTTGATTTTTTAAACTTTTCCTAACTAACTGGCAAAGTAGTTTTTTTTTTAAGATCTATTCTTGCTGAGACGGTCTTCTTCATCTCTTGAAAACCACGGTAAAATTAATCAAAATCTCCAAGGGGTTTTCAAAGCCGCTTGAAAAATTCTTCAAGATCTCCTGAGTTTGTTTTTCTTCAAATTTTCTAATTTCGTAAGCGTATCTTAAAGGTTTGTCTCCAATATCACCAACATTTTCTTAAGGTCCTCAAAAGTCATTCTATATATCGCATCAAAATCATTTGGGAACTATTATTTTTTCTCTAATTTTTTTTCCCTCAAGATCCCTACAAGGTTTCTTCAGAGAGGACCACTAGACCTAACATTGAAGAAATTACAAAAATAGGAGAGAAAGCAAACACGAAGAAAAGGGGGGGGGGGCTGAATAAAATGCATGTAGCAAATGAGGACATTGAACAAGACGAAGAAAAGAGGACAATGAGAAAACCCACGAAAAACAAATGAAGGTATCATAGATCAAATAAGAAAATTTCATAGGAAAGTACATGAGAATGTCAAATGTGGAAACGTTGTGTGTGAGAAAAAGATAATGAAAATCAAGTATAAATTAAATGGGAGGAATAAAGAATATCCGCTGATGATGAAGACAGATGAATCGAAGATTATAAAAGAAATGAAGAAGTGAAGGTGTTGGAGAAGATCAAGGGTGAGCTGAATTATGAAGATTATGACGACAATGGAGAAAAGAAGATCAAAAAGAAAGAAGATAGTAAAGCAAATGATTACACGTTGAAGGCAAATGAAACGAAAATTAAGCAGAAGAGGCCAGAATTTAAGCACGTTAAGCCATAAATAGAAGAAGCACGGACAATTTAATTGGTTGAAGAAAATGAAGATTAAAAACCGGAAGAAATGAAGATCATGGCGGAAATGACTAACAAGAATTATAAGGCACGTGAAGAAAACCCAGAAAGGATTCTGGGGGAAAACCAAGATGATGAAAAGGACGAGGTAATGAAGAAAGTGCTGAAAATGTAACTGGGGATCTTCACGAAAATGAGGAAACTCCGTAACGGTTTTAGTAATCGTGCTAGAAGGTTCTTGATGGTTCTCAGATTCTTCTAAACCTCTCTAAGGAGTGGGTGTCGGAGTCTGCACCAGTAGTTTATTTTGGGATTCTTCAAAATGGTTACTCTTCCGGGCTTTTGGGATCATTTGATATCTTCCAAACCAACCGAAGCTTTCGGTGCTTTAGGCTTCTTGGGGCATTTGGAAGCTCAAAAGTCTTGATTAATTACTAAAGGGGGCTGGAATGAGCAAACCATTGAGGGTCAAAGAATGTGCTTCATTTCTTCTTCTTTACTTCTTAATATTTTCTGAAAACTTTCTTCACAAATCATATACATTTTTCAAAATCGGCGCGTAATAAAATGGTGAATTTGTGAACACCCTCTATATGCACACATCAAACGTGGGAATGGCAGATTTGACGTACCGCAAATTCGTATCGCGCTGTCAATAAAACAATGCACACAGCCTTCCTTATCATCCGCAATAATAAGCAGCTACATCCCGTTGCGGTTTCGCCCTTTATCAGTAAATATTTTCACATTCACGTCGAGACCGTGAAACCGCGCGTTATGGAGGACGGTGGGTAAATTCGCCCCAAAATTCTTTTTCTTCAAAGATTTTTGTAGAGGTTCGTCTCGCCGAGGACGGTGAGTTTGCTCCGCCCGTCGTCGAGGAGGTGTTCGTTCGCGAGGATGCATTGACTGTGGAGGCGCTTCAGGGGAAAAGTGGACGAAGGAAGGGTGCGTAGTAAGCGATTTAGTGCGTTCAATGCAGTTTCAAGTTGTAGCGAGGGTGCCGAAGAAAAAGAAAGTCGTCCGCGACGATGATGCCGGTGGCGGTGAGGATGAGAACGGTAACCCAAAGTTTGTGCGATTTCAATACGCAGTTCGTAAATTCCAGAACCGAAAGAAATGAAGGTACGAATGGCCGATGACGACGACGACGATGAAGGCGAAGATAGCGTAGATGAAGAAGAAGAAAAAGAAGACGATCATTGCGAAAGGGGTATGCCGAATGAGCAAACTGCCTCACGACCTTACTCTTTCAGATGAGGACGCAGGAAAGTCGGAAGAAGACCAGGTTGATAAAGGTGAAGATCTGGCATTGCAGATTGAGGGAGACGTTGGCGAAACGAAAGTGACACGCGGATCAGATTCGTTGGCTGCCAAAAAGACGGTAGCGCAAGGTAGGCAGAATTCATTTTCCTCGTAATTTACATTATCTCTGCTCCTAATACACTCTGTAAGTCTGTTCTGAGGATAACATAACAGATGAGGAATTTTATTGTGCCCAGAAGAAACCATTCAGCACTCTATTTTAGGTTAAAAAATTTTAAACTTTCGTTTAAAGAGATACTATTAAGTTTACTCCTGATACACGAAGTATCTGTTACAAAAGTCTTGTAAATTTTGACTGGCTATCAGGGGAACATGATGAGAAATTCTCTTTCTAGACACAAAAAACATCTCAGCATAATATTTTCGCTTAAACACTTTGAACTTTTGTATCAGGAAAGTATAATCTGCAGCTAACAGGGGAGCATAATTAAAGAGGATTCCTTTTCCATGCTCTACGATCGCTTAAACATGTTCATCTGTATATCGCGAAGGTATTCTAGTAAATGAGGTGTCTATTGAACAATTTTTGTACATTTTGTCTGGCGACCAGGAGAACATAATTCATGATGTTCGTTTTCTAAGCTCAAACGAACCGTTTCAACACCTTACTTTCCGTTGTACCTTTTAAATATTTTGATCAGGGAAGTTTAATCGGCGTGGATGTGACTCTGCTCCTAATACACGGAGTGATGTTTTGTGGATACCGAGGTTCTCCTTTTTATGCCCAAATGAAACCTTTTAATACATTTTTGAAATTTTGTTCAGGACATTATTATGTAGGAGGTGCACAGGTATTTCCTATAGCATTTTGTAAATTTTCTTAACCTACCGGAGAACCATAACAGATATAAGAATGTGTTATGCCCAGAATTAACGTTTCAGTGACTTGTTTTCGCTTACAGCTTTCTATCCGGAAAGTATAAGCTGTAACTCTGCTCCTAATACAAAAGAATCTGTTGGAGAAATTTTTGTAAATTGTCTCCGCCTACCAGGAGAACATAATGGAAAAAGTTTCTTTTTGTACACTTAAAGAAAACCTTTTAACACTTTGTTTTTGATTGAAACCACGAACTTTTATATCAGAAAAAGATAATTTTTTGCTCTTAACTAAAATACATGGGTTATCTGTTTAAAAGCTTTGTAAATCTTCTTTGGCTATCAGGAGAACATAACAGGTGAGGATTTTTGTGCCGGAAACTATTCAGCGGGCCATTTTAGATTAAACTGTCTGAACTTTCGTACCAAAAAAATCTCAAAAGTTTGTAAATTCTCTCCTGCTATTAAGGGAGCATAATAGAAAGGATTCAGCATTTTGCTACATTGCCAATTCACGAATTCCGATCTACAAATTTGATAAAGAATCCATATACTAAATTTTATCGTAATCTGTTCATTCGTTATCGAGATGTGCTAACGGACGGACAGACGGACAGACACCGCAAAATTATAAACTCGCTAGGAGCTCGTTAATAAATTATAGGCAACTCCGTCTCCACTTTCTCTATGTAGTTCTTCTAAGTTTACCTGTCTTTTTGTACGTTAATCTTCCTCTCTTCGTTTGCGTTTTGTTTCTGATTCTTTGCTTTTTCTTGTTTTCACCTTATTTTTTCGACAACTTTAATCTTTATAATTTTATTCCCTTTTGTTCTTTCACCTCCCTCCCCCCCCGGGGCTTTTTCAAATTATATTACCTTCTTTCTATTTTCTCTGGTTGATCCCCCTTGCCATTTCGCTTCAAATTTCTTTCCATTCTCTCCGCTCTCTTTGTCTTTTTTTATCGCGTTCATCTTTTTTCTTCTTTTCCTTTGCAGCAGTTTCCTCTCTTACGCTTACCCTGTACGTCTTTTTCTAGTTTTTATTTTCTCCTTTACGATAATTTTCTTTTCTTATCCCGCATTTTTTCTTTGCTTTCACTCTTCCTCGTCTTCTTTCTTCGTTTATGTTTCACTTTAATTCCACGTTTTTCTTACGTTTGAGGTTTTCGAACCTATTATCTAACTTTCTTATTCCGTCTCCACTTCTTTCCTACTGTCTGCAACTTCTGCACTTTTACTAAATTCCCTAAGGATTCATTTGACCCATCTGAGTCCTCGGTTTCTTCTTCATCACTTTCATTTACCTTCTCTCCATCCACTTCTTTTATGTTGCTCTTCTCTTCTGCGTCAATTTTCCTTTTTTAAGAATTAAAAAAAGTGCTATTGTTTACGTTTTGTCCGTCCGTCCGTCCGGACCCACTTCTGCCGTTTCGAACTACTTCTAGGGGAATAGTCCTACAGTCCTGGAATTTTTTGCAGTAGGTAGCCCATACCTTGGAGGTGTGCCAGACGGCCATCAAATTTCGCTGTCTGAAAGCCCCCCCCCCCCCCACGAATTATTTCCTTACAAACTATAACTTTCCCGGGCGACGCTTTTTCTAGATCAGTGAGCGAAGGGGCGTGAGGGGGGGGGGGTATTGTACTCTAATTAAAGGTCTCGACGAAAGGAACCGTGCTCTACCAACTTTCTATCCTCTTATCTAAGGGGGGGGGAGTGGAACTAGTTTTATCCTTCATGGTACTCTAATGAAAGGTCTCAACGAAAGGAATTAATTTCTACCAACTATAGTCCTCCTCGATCCCTTATCGTGATCTGATATATTCCCTAATATCTCTCCCTTCTCCTCTTATAACCAGGTCTAACTTTCTTTACGAGTCTTCCGAGTAGTTCTGCTTCACATTATTCTCACAAAACTGTTTGCATTTTTTATCAGGAAAGTATTATAATCTATGAAGGGACGATTTAACATACGAGTGTCGTTTGCAAATTTTGTTCGGTTACCAGGAGAACATAATTCTTATCCTTGTTCGGAAAAAAAAAAGTTTTAACACCGTTAAGTTTGAACATTTTAAACTTTTGCATTAGGAAAACATAATCCGTGGTGACACGGCATATCCGTTAGAAAGTTTTTGTAATATTACTTTGTTTAATCTGTGAGATTTTATACGTTTTGTCGGGCTACTAGGTCGAATTCTTTTCTCATACTGAAAATGAACGTTTATCACCTTATTTTCGTTTAAATATCATAAGCTGTGGTGAGTCCGCCCCTGATACATGAAATATTTGTTTCAAGAATTACTGATCTTTCTCCGGCTATCAGGAAAGCATAATCGATGCTCCAAAGTCACGTTTCAATAGATTACATAATATCAAGAGGGAAGTTTGTTATGAAAAATGTGTACAAAAATCACAGTTTCCGCTAAATCACAATTTATGAATTGCTAAAAACTACCCCTTCTTCGCGAATTAAAAGTATGTCTTTAATTAACCGTCACGTTTCAGCTATCCGTCACTTGCAATCTTGCGCATGCCTCTCATTCATCCTCGTCTAAATTCTTTTAGGGATGATGGACATCGCTTTAATAACGGCAAACGCAAACCAACTGAGATACATCCTCGCCTACAACCAAGGGAGCTCGACCTACTACATAAACGTCGTCCTCCTCTCGGCGTCGCTGATGCTCCAGGTCTCCGTCGGGCTATGTCTCGTGTTACGTGGCCGTTTGGACCTGAAGGGCAACTCCGAGAAGTCCCAGGCGAAGAAACTGAACAACTACATCGTAATGGGGGTGTTTCTGATAACGATAATTAACGTTTTTATAGCGAGCTTTACGGTGACAACCGAATCCAGCTCGTAAACTTTATTATAATGTAAACGTCAGCAATAAATTCCGCTTTCGCGAGGAAATGTTAATTTACCTACCCCAAATTGCGTAAATATTTATGTACCACAATGGAAGTATATTATTTCTCCATTAGCCGGGAAAAAATGTAATTCGGGAAAGTTGCCGCTCGACAAGCGAATTCGCTTTTAAGCTCTTGTTTGCCGATAGCGCGAACTTGTTTACATCCCTCCTTTCAATATCCATTATAGTTATATCGCGCGGGGAAAAATAAGACGAACGCGAACGTCTGTATCAATTATTCGTGCGGGGAAAACTCGAAGCTCGGTAATTGCAAATCTGGTCTTGCGGTAACACACGAGAAGAGTAAACAAAGCGCGAGCAATTGTGATGGTAAAGTCTCTAAACAATTCTAATCAACTCGAAATTTCAATTAACAAAGCGGGAGATGGAGAGGATTGAGAGGCTTAAAAACCGCATGAGTTCTTATGCGTCAAACTACAAGATCGGCGCTTCTCGTGCCCTTCTGCGACCGTCAATTGTCCTTTACCTCATTCACTGCTTATAATCTGGCACATGCACTTCAAACAGTCAATAGGAACGTCATAAGTCATTTCAGTTTTAGCACACATGAATTTATCTCACTTGAGAAGTGATAGGAGGAATGAATTGATGAATCTTTCACGAAGGATCCGCAAACCGAGAGGAAAGGAGGGGAGCAAAAGAGGAAAATAAACGTATAGCAGAAGGGTCCTGGAGGGTTTGGGTAGAGAAATTCGCGATGGCCATAGCCCCCAGACCCCCCGGTGGTACGTTCTGCCCCAAAACCGTTTGCTTCAGTACTCTCAAGCATCAGAGTTTCTTTACTGGGGGGTTTTCTATACTCCCCCAGACCCCCCGGTTTTACGTTCTCCCTCAAAACCGTTTGCCTCACTACTCTCAGTCATCAAAGTTTCTTTATTGGGGGTTATTCCATACCCCCCAGACCCCCCGGTGGTACGTTCTCCACCAAAACTGTCAGCTTCACGACTCACAATTACAATTGTCGCTTAAGCGCCATCGAACGTACCACCGGGGAATCTGGGGGTATGGAACACCCCCAGCATACGAAGGGTTTACTTATACAAGTGGTCCATGGTGATAATGATGATTGTAGGGAAATGGTAATCAAAGTTTCCCCCCGGTGGTACGTTCTCTCCCAAAACCGTTTGCTTCACTACCCTCAGTCATCAAAGTTTCTTTAAGGGGGGTATGGGGGGGGGGGTATTCCATACCCCCCACACCCCCCGGTGATACGTTCTCCCCCAAAACCGTTTGCCTCACCACTCTCAGGCACCAAAGTTTCTTTACTGGGGGGTATTCCATACCCCCCAGACCCCCCGGTGGTACGTTCTGCCCCAAAACCGTTTGCTTCAGTACTCTCAAGCATCAAAGTTTCTTTACTGGGGGGTTTTCTATACCTCCCAGACCCCCCGGTTTTACGTTCTCCCCCAAAACCGTTTGCCTCACTACTCTCAGTCATCAAAGTTTCTTTATTGGGGGTTATTCCATACCCCCAGACCCCCCGGTGGTACGTTCTCCCCCAAAACTGTCAGCTTCACGACTCTCATTACAATTGTCGCTTAAGCGCCATCGAACGTACCACCGGGGGGTCTGGAGGTATGGAACACCCCCCAGTATACGAAGAGTTTACTTATACAAGTGGTCCCATTGTGATAATGATGATTGTAGGGAAATGGTACTTAAACAACATCGAACGTGGAACCGTGCGGTCTGGTGGGGGGGGGGGGGTTCAATACTCCCCAGCGGACTATTCATGAAACAAGGTACATTAAATTGTCCTCACCACCTCACCAGTGAATCCACATAAAGGATTGAAAGAATACAAGAACATTAAAATAGATTAACAAAAGGTGCGAAGGGGGAGGTAAATTATGAAAGGGTAATTTCATTGGCAAATAAAAGAAAAACGTAGAAAAGGTGGTGTACTGACAAACGATGAGAAAGGCTGGGAAGGAGAGCGATGCGTTAGAGTCATTGCTACGGCAGTGGGAAAGGGAGAATATTAGTGATGGAAAAAGGTGGAGTCGAAGGGTATAAAAAAGATAAACTAAGAATGGAGGAATTACACCTTATGGCCAAAAAGCCAGAAACGAGACACAAGAGAAATTAATCGAAGTAGAAAAGAAGATTAATGCATAAAAGAACGGAATGTAAAAGAAATGGGAAAAGTGGAATCAAAGCTGCCTAGCAGATTTGTTTAGTGAATTATAATAAGAGCAGCAAAGATGTAACAGATAAACAGGAAAAGACAAGAAAAAAACAGCGGGAATTCTACGAAGGTAAAGAGGGGCAGGAAGAGACAGCTTGAGAAGGACGAGAGAAAATATAGGGTTAGATCAAACGTGTAGGAGATAAAAACCGGTGCAAAGAGAAAGAAGATTTAAAAAAGATCCAACAAAATTCACGAAGGAAGAAACAGGCAGGAAGAATATCATACAAAAAAGAAAAAAAAAACGGAGAACAACACGGGGACGAGCATTCAAAAAAGAGGAAGTTGTTGGAAAGCATTTTTAAGTGAATTACACCAACAGCAGAGATGAAAAAGAAAGAAGGTAAAGAAAACGATAAAGATTAGCGAAGTTTCACGAAAAGTGCCGAACTTTAGACAGAAAGGAAAGGAAGAAGATACAGAATACTGGGAAGTTGGAAGAACGTGGTAAAATATAAGAAGTGTGATGTAAGCTCGTAAACGACAGAGCAATACAGAAAATAAGCAAAAAGGAACTCTAGGCAAGAAACAAAGAAAGAGAAATGGGATATGAGAGATAGAGGGAGAGAAAGGGACTAACGAAAACCAATAAAAAAGTGTGGTATAATGTCAAAGTGTTACGAGGAAAAATAAAGAAAAACAGGAAAATAAGAGAGTAAGGGAAGAAGAGAAGAAAGGTACTGGGGGATGCGAATAATTTACTTACACGAGCGTTCTCATGGTGATAATGATGATTGTAGGGAAATTCCTTTACTGGGGAGGGCTTCTGTATGGATATTTTTGAAGACGGAACGTGGAAGGAAAAGAAGAAAGTAGAATAAGGCGATCTATTGACAAAGTGGAGCGAAGTTGTTGAGAAGACTCAGGACTGGAGCGAGAGGCGAAAATGGAGAGAAGGAACGGAAAAGAATGAAAGAATATTTCTGTAGTAGGAGGAAAGAGAGTGAAAAACGTGCGGATTAGAGTCGATAACTCAGAAACGATACGCAAAAAATAAAGAAGAATGGAGCAATGAAGCAACGGAGAAGGACACGTTACAATAAAGGCGTAGGTGATGAATACGGACGAAAGGAGGATTTACTAAAGATACAAAAAATTGCTCCAGAGGGGAAGATTAAAGAATAGCATACAGGAAAAGAAGAAACAGAGGGCTAGGAAGGGCGAAGAAACTATTGAAAAATACTCTTGAGTTAGTAGGAAGAAGAAGTAGGGGAAGAAATAGAGTATATTGAATAATAAAATAATAGGCGGTACCAAGAGGAGTGAAGGGAATCAAAGAACAAAAGTTATCCTTTACACTTTTTTTAATTTTCTTTCTGTGATCCCGTTTAAATTCTTTACTCCCTTTCCACACGTTTTGACTTTACGCTCTCGTGATTCTTATAATCCTCCAACGAATCGGGTTTTCTACCTTTGTATACCAGTTTTTTCACTATCTTTCTTTCTAGGGATTATACTCTTACTTCCATTTTCTCTTTCTCTTCCCCTTCTTGCCAAAAGTCGATTTAAAAAAAAAGAGGGAGAAGGGACACGGCTTTTTTAGCGTGAAAAGATCTATTGAAGGTATAATTCCGACCCATTTTTTTTTAAAGAATTGTTAATTGACTGAGGACCTTTTGAAAAAAGGAATTCTG